AAACCAATATTGATCCACATCTTTTTATTCGTAATCATCCGATTCGTGTTGTGAGCTGTTCGAATGAATCGATGTTAATGGACAAACTTGTGTTGACGAGAACGCCGACGACGCCGACTCCTCTAGTGTCGCATGTTCCGAGGAACAGTTCTTCTCCGGTGTCACAGACGGCGTTGAATGGCTGGAGTCGTCTCATCTCTGCCAGGCCAATGACGTCGTACTTTATCCTTTTTGCTTGCATAAGCAAGTCTTCTATCGAGGACTCGGATGCAAGTGTACGTCCATTCTAGGTACAGATCGTCACCATATTTCTTTGTAATCCAGGCAGCTTCCATTGGCCCTGAGATTTTAGCAGCTTTTTCGTAGTCCGAAGGATGCTATATTAGGATTTTATAATTTAATCTAGAAAGGGCCGAGCCAACAACCATGTGTGAAGACACTTCTAGGCACCGCTCCATAGGAGCGTTTCCTCCATGGATAAACCATGGAAGAACAGCGCTTTGAATCAGCAATTTACTTCCAATTTTTTTCCTACTTATGCTCAGAAATACAGCTTTTGAACTCTATTGTTCAAAATTACAATTAAAAACCATTCAGCTGTGCCGAAACTCATTTGGAAAGTAGTAAAAAAAAGGATAAAGCTCTCGGCGTTGATGAATGTCTGAGGGATGCGCCACTCATTCGACTTCATTAAGTGTCGTTGAACGTGATTGAATGCATATCTGGCCTTTACAATAACTCGCGGTGGACTACCGATATATCGAGTCAGTGCTGCTATCCTCCCAGACAAGTCTGGTACCAATTTTCCGACCCCGGAGGGATGGAAGGCTTGGTGAGCCATGGGCGCGGGAATCGGCTCCACGCGGGTGTCGCTGTGGCGTCTCCAACCATTGCGCCACACGCACTCTTTGAAAAATAGTAAAGGTAAAAACTATAGGTAATAAAAAAGTATAGGAGCACTGCGGAAAAATGTATTACGTTGTCTTTTTATTTAGCTGTCTTTCACAGCCAAAATGTGGAATTTAAGTTGTGTCGTGTCGGGACTCAGAAGATTCTTTGTAAAGGCAAGCCACACGAAGTATGGAAAAAGCAAAGAAGTTACATGTAAAATAAACTAATAACTTTTAATTGTAGTGATTGCTTTAGTGAGTATAAATCTAGCTTAAAGGAGAAACCAAAGAGGACGACAGTATTGGCTACAAAACTCTCATCAAAGCCTCCTATCAGTGAAGGACTAACACTTTCATCATCACCTATTTGACTTGATCGATCCTTTCTATCATTTTGCGTCGCAGTTAAGACGTAGGCTATCACTTTAGCCATGTCGAAAATTTTCATAGCTGCAGACAGAACGCTACTGATTTTCCTCATACCGATCTCGTGCCGGTTACACGTGAGGAATCGTGGAACGTTCCCAGGTGACCGATAGGGATTAATTGCGAACCAAAAGCTACCTTTGATTCCGTAAAACGCAGATGGATCCAAAGGATGGAATCTCTGTTTCCGCCGTTATGGCTTGCTACATAGCAACTGTATTTGTGAAAGCGTATCACGGATGCATGCGTGGGAATACTACCGTTTACGCAAATTGTATGCTACAGATCAACTCGGCCAAAATACTAAAAACAAGCAACGGGAAACATTAGAAGTCGCCTCCAACAAATAAGCTCCATGTCCACTCCGCGGAGACTGGCAAGCTACCCGTGAGTATACCTAGCCTCCATGTTCAGAGCCCAGTAGGTTACACGTGGACATCAAAGTTCTAAACACAGTGAAAGAAACAGGCCTCATTCCTCTAACCCGAAAGAGCTCCTGACATGGCAACGTTGAGTAGGTTGAATACAGAGGCGTTATTAAAATCTGAGAACCTTTCTAGGGTGACTGAATCACAAAGGACTATGGTAACGATCTGTATCTACCATGCACGCACACTTGCATCTGAATCTGCGGTAGAAGACTTTGTCAAGAATTAGGTAGTATGAGCTACTACGTCATCAGACTGGCTGAAACGAGAAGATACCACTCATTCAACGCCGCCTATGACACCGAAAAGAATTGCTCTTCGGATCATGCGGCAATACAGGAGCCGGAGGCGTCAACGTTCTCGTCAACACGATTTTGTCCGAGAACATCGATTCATTCTAGCAACTAACAGCTCGAATTAGATGTTTACGATTGAGGAAGTGTAGATAAATACCGGCTTTAAAAATGTTCGTTGCTTAAGCGCTGGCATCAAACTATGACGAAGAAGAAGTCGATGCGCTCTCTATGTATTTGTGGGGGCTCTACAGTGAAGACCACACATTTCTTAACGTCATTATCGGAGATTGAAATGCTAAGACTGGACTCAGAAGAACGTCTGAAAAACGTCACTTTGGGAACGACGGAATAAAGTGGAACGAGAAAAGGGAGCCTCACTTTATTATGTCGACCAAGATCATTCATGGTAACTTGCAATTCCATAAGTCCCACTATCGACGCTGGAGGTGGAAATCTTCCAATGGAGAGTACTGTAACGGAATAGATTGCGTCATAGTAAGTCGAAGGTTTTTCCTAAACGATGTCGCTATTTTCCCAAAATTCTACATGGGTCAGAACATGCCTCCTTCTTACAGGACTTCGTTTTTCCGGGGAAGGAGAAAAAGCTACTGTGTCAAAAAACGAAATCCCTAATCCACCCGAACTTTGGATTATTCATATTACTATCCGGCTCTTATCAGGATACCGCTATTGATTTCAACGAAGAAATATTCGACATTCTTATTCGAAACATACAGTCCTCATAAACACAGTGGCTCGGCTAATCACACTTTACCTGTCAAAATGCGAGACTTCTACTCAGTGGAAGACCAACAAGACTGTGCTATTGTTTAAGAAGGGTGACCTCTAAAATATCGGCAACATCGCCTAATCTGCTTAGCGTCCTTAGCTTAGTGTTCATAAACTTTTCACTCGTTTTGTCTTCAACAGGATTGACAGAACATTGGACGAAGGACAGCCATCTGAGCAAACAGGGTTTCGGAAGGACTTAGTGCGATGGACGACATCCACATGATAACAAGGCTCACTAAAGTATTGCGAGAGTATAGGTGGGCACTCCATCTCAATTCCATCGAATTGAGGAAAACTTTTGACTCACTTGAGAAAGAAGTAGATATGGAAGCCATGTACAACCAGGGCGTATATAAGGATTGTTCGTGAGCTATGTAAAAATTTCACAACCAAAATATCATCGTTCTATAACGATGTTGACATCGATGGCAAAAGTGGAGTTGAACAAGACGATACCATTTCGCCATAATTATTTGCCGCCACCGTTGACAACGTCAGGAGAACACTGGAATGGAACAACACGAGAGTGATAGTCGATGGTCGGCGATTACACCACGTTCGTCTTGCTGGTGACGTGTGATCAGCATGAATGATCACTCAGTTTTGTTGAACGCGCAGTCGATAGGGCGATGGTAAGGGTGCCCTGTATCACACAGCTGAAGGGAGAAATACGAAGCTTCGATCCACGTCGACGATCAACAACCGAAGGTGCCGTTCTGTATGCCAAACTGTAAAAGATAAGACTGCCAAACACGTAATGAGTTGAACGTCCACCCACATGGGCAACAGCCTTTAATAAATGGGTTCCCTGTAATGTGATACGTGCTGGAGGAAGCCCACCGACCCTGTAGTCAGAGTTCTTTACGAAAGTCCTAACCAAAAATGTGGTGATGAGCGAGTCCCTAGAGAAATTAAACCCAGCTGGGTTACTCTACACGCGACAAGGAGAAATGGAAGATCTACTGGCGCCCACTCGAGTCAATCGACGATCTGTGGTCGACAGGTTATACAGATCCTACAGAAAGAACAAAGTCTTCTAGAATGAAAAAACAGGCGGAATGCAGAAAACGTCAAACGGTACAAAACACTTCGCACTTTTGGTGTAAAAACTCTATTCCTTATACAGCGAGGTATAAAAATTATCCGAGTAGAATGACTTATAAAAAGTGAGGACGAGGTAAACCTACGGAATGAATCTCATCTGGGTGCAGTCCTAATCTAAATAAATCGTCACCTATTAAAGGACTCTGTTGGTCACAACTTCTTAAGTTGTGGCCGTTTTTGGACTCAACCGTAGATTCATGACGGAAGAGTTCGACTCACTCGTACGATCTAATACCTCGTTATTATTTCCTTCGAGATATTTTTGGTGGTTCTTGACTCTGATACCGCGCTATGCATTAGCTGAAAAGAAATCATTAGCTGCATTAGCTGTATGGTTACTGTGCTAACTGTAGTCCAACTTTACATTCCTCATAATTTATGTTGTAAAAACGTTTTCCCTAAAAGGTATTACTAAAAATTAACAAAGCTAAAGTTCGTACAAGATGTTCTAATGCACTTCATAGTCACATAAAACTTTTTAAATCATTATCATTGTCATCATCTACATTCGTATCCATATACGAATACAGCAGTTCAGAATGCGGCTGTCGTTGTGTTCGATTCAGATTGGGATATAGTCAGAACGACGATGAAGGTGACGGAATCGTGGACAGTAACACAAAAACCAGAACGCGTGTAGGTGGAATTTTCCAGAAAGACATGAGAGGAAAGACTAAGCACTTTTCTCAAATATTCTGAATGTCTTCTATTGCGGTTTTAGTTCAAGAAAGTCGAATCTCGTTTTTTGGCTTAAATGACCTTTTTCATAACTGATTAAATTAAATAATACAAAACAGAAATATAGCCCTGAAAAATGGAGTAAAAACACATAAAAGGGTTTTGAAAAAATTGCAGGAGAATCATGGTAAACTTGAACAACACGTCGGACAGATTCAAGTGTGTGATAAATGTTATTTTACACCAGCAATGTTTCAGTGAATTCAGCACTTGTGACACTTCTTACTTTGTATAAAAATAAGCACTCGTTCAATGTTCGCAATAAAACACAGCAGACTTCACCACAAGTAACATAGTTCGATATTTTTCTGTCTTTTAGATCAGAAATGAAATCTTCACAGGAGATATTGTCTCAGCGGGCTGAGGAGCAACTTTCTTTAACAAAGTTAGTGTTTTTTGTCATATTCAAGCTTTATCCGAACGAATTGAACGAAAATAGTCTATAGGGAACCACATAAACGATCTCAGCCACGTTTTGACGTTGAAGTTGTGCCGGCGATTACGTTAGAGATCGAATCTATGAGTATTAACGTTGACGATGAACGGCCCTACATCGTAAACGTTAAAAAATCGAACTAGCGAAAAAAATTTTTTTTGTAATCAGATACGAGAAGTTTGAAAAAATTTGAAAATTCGTACACTGAAAATGTTGAGAAGCATTGAGCAAACAGGAAGAAAATGAGAAAAAAGTAAGGATATGAGGGTGAAGGACACCGCGTTCGGTGTTATCTACCGCTTAAGAAGGCGGCTTGCATTCGTCTCCATTCGTATCATCGCATCATTGAGGTGAATAAATGCTTATTTAGCCAAAAAATAAACTACTGGAGCTTACTGATGTCACAGATCACTGTTTTTATCAATCATTTTAGGAGTACTTCTCGTGAACGGCATAAGAAGATAAGCAAGTTCCACTCGTCCGCCATAGACGATGAACCGATGCCGGTGCAAAAGTTTATGAGACCGCTTAATGAACTACAAGTAAAGACGTTTTCTGTGCCCATCACTCGTCCTGAGCTCGTCGTGGATAAGCCGGTTGACGGCGAAAGCCGTTCGCTTTTCAAAGTGTGGTCGAAGAACTGGCGTCTGCCACCGATTCGTCGTGGAACAATCTCCCGTCATTTCTATACCAACACTGGTAACCGTTCTAATTTGTACATAAAATAATTTGAATTTGGAATTAATAAATGACTCGCACACCGTCGAAGAATATACCGTGTCCAGTAATGACGGCGTTTGTCTTTAACAAACACTGGGCAGTAACTTAGCGAAAAAGTAATGGCACTTGCCAAAAATCCGTTTCATGACAGAAACGTTCCTGCACCGTAGCAATTCGATCACTCTTTTCTATTTCTCTTAACGAAACGGATAGCAGGCAACGAAATGCAGTCATTTCTGAGTATTCATGCCATCAATCGATGCGCATTGCTAGCGTTTACTAGTTTACGGCAGGTTAGATAGGCTTTAGAAAACATTTCTCACAAGTGAACTAAAAGTGTATTATGTAAAACACTGCAGTATAGGTATTGAAGATAGCACTTTTAACTCTCCTGTTATGGCTACGTATCGCTCTACAGATGTGCGTTATCATCACTTCTAAATTCGCTTCGTAGATGATACAAGTTGATCAAAGATGTTTTGAAAAAATGTGAAAAAGGATATCATTCGCTGCACTTCTATTCTTCCTACTCAGGACAAAAGACTGTGCGGTGAGAGAAAACGATTCTCACTAAGTATTGTATTACTCTTTGTTTGTTGATGTTCAGCTATATCAAACTCTAGTACTGTAAGACTAATACCGCAAAGCTTCTCACGTGAAGCCAAGCTAAAGTGAATGCTAAAAATTCTGTTTTTTAAGTGAAACAACTCCATTCACTTCGTGATCACTTGCTTCCGCATCAAAATATTTCCACATCAGACACTAAGGTAAGGCGAGTTTTCGATACGGGACCATGGCCATCTCTAACACATACTGCTGATTGATCACAACACTACGCACATGCTGTCCAACAATCATGAAGGCCACACCTCGTTAGCAAACACCGCCATACTTACTGCCTTCTATCACATAGCTTCTCTATTATACGCAACGAAATTTTTAGCATTAAGTATCTTTCTTAATGTTAGCTTTTCATTTACTGCTTACCAAAATTCTTCAGGACAGAGTATTGTGTAAGATACCACAATGGTATTTGCAGAACTCCGGACCGCAGATGCCTGTGGTGGCGATAGAACACGCTATTACTCTTTGCCAGCGCTAACGCGTTCACGACCGCAACATGCCAGTCCTTCGTTTAGCCTTTCTCTCACCTAGCTTCCCATTTGCCAGTTCCAACAGCAATCACCTATCAACGGAACCGCTAACTAAATTTTCCTGAGGCTAAAAATTGCAACAAGATTAACTTGGTTCAATGCCGATTTGTGTTTCCCAGATTAATGATGCTGACCGGCGATTGTTGATGGCACTGGTAGATAGAAAACTAGCTGAGAGAAATGTGAAACGAAAAAGTCGCACGGTATAGTGGTGGTCACGTTAGCCCCTGCAAAAAGTAATAACGTTTTCTATTCTCACCGCAGACACCTGCAGCTCAAAATTTTGCAAATATCTAAGCATCATTGTCGTTGTATCTTTTCTTATTTTGAGTGAGCTTTCATGGAGTCGGAATGTGGCGTTTTACTGAGCTTCATTGCATCTACACCTATTCCATTCATTCATTCCTTCATTACTCCTTTTCTTGTTCAATTTCATTAGGCTAACTATTATATGCAAACTTTTAACATCCTTTGTTCTTTTAAGGTAAGCCATCAAATCAAAGGAGTTCCATGGAAAAGTACAGAATTCAGCAATGGAACAACAACCATTAAACCGACAAGTAGGTTTACTACATTAAAATTAACTACTGGAAGATCTTGCATTTCCACTCGAATACGTTTCAACCAGTCCTAATTTTCATCGTTAAAACAATTTTCTAAACCTACTTGGATACTTAGATGGCCTGTCCTTGCTGATTGTTCGGACCCCGGCATAACCTTTACTTTTTCGAAGATTTTTTGGTTTAGTTATTGTGGTGCCCTAGAATTCCGATGTCAGCCTGGTCAAAGCGTGCCCAGGACGTTACCATCACAGGCAGACGCAGCTCTTGTAGATTAGAGGGAGATTTGCCACCATGTGACCTTGATACCAGAGCGGTGGTGGATCCTGGTGTTGGTTTACTTTTAGTTAGGCTTTCTGATGGAAACCCCTACCTTGGGGACCCTAAGCTTGGGAAACCTGCCTTGGAGAAGAATTCCCACGCTGTACACCACACACCCAGGAACTCTCTCAGCCACGATAAGGTGGTAAAACGTTGGGAGGAATTATTTTCTATAACAGTGAAAAATTAGAAATTGTTGTATAATGGGATTAGAAATCACAATACATACATTGGATTGTGAAACTTTCGCCACCTTTGACCACTTTTCCACGGGTTTTCTGACCTTATTCTAGAATGGAATAGAATTTTAGTAAAGAATTAGCAGGGTTTTTACCGAGTCAAGTAATCCAAGCGGCAAAAATGACCGGAAAAGCGAAAGAAAACTACAAAAACATTTAACACATAACTAAATGAGATTTTAACTCTATAGCAGTTAAAAGATAAAGCGTTCTTTGGTTACTTTTCTCTTAACGATGTGACTTCAAGACCATTCGCAGCGTCATGAAAGTGAATGAATACATATTTGGGATATACAATGATTTACAAGCCTTCCCAATATCTCATGTCAGTGTTTTTTATCCAATCACCAACATTTCACCCTAATCTCACAACTTCAAAGAGGTTGGAGGAATGGTTAGTCCAGAGGAGGGGATCGGATCAAACACCACGCGAGTATTGCAGGGTACTTCCAGCAGCTGCGCAGTCTTACTTCATTTTAGTCCTAGGTCAGGGCACTGTAGGTACACGCAGATTTATAATGTGTTGTTTATGACGTTCTGCTTATCGAGATTTACACTTGCAGAAGAATCGACGGAGAAATCGTCGTCGTGTTTCACTCGAATCAAACAAAGAGCACTACTTGATTACGAGCAACAAACTATATCTGGTGTCGATGTGCAAATATGCTTACATACTTGCCTTCACATAAGCTCATTCTATTGTGCTAGCGTGAACTACGACAAACTGAGACATGTAAGTGGCGTGAATGCCATTTCGGAACTTCTATGATTTCCTGTCGTTTTGGGTCTTCTATGGTACAATGCTGACCATCTGTGGAAAGAAATGTTATGTTCGAACAAGCTTTTTTTGATATGCAACCTTTTTTGGATGTTCCTATGATTACGATTTTATCGCAATATGATATCGCATTAAGGCAATTGATTCTGCTACCTTTAAGATGTGCACTTTGAACGGTGGAAGCGTATATTTCAACAACGCTGAACTCAAGAATTCAACATCTGATTACTATGAGAACGAGTGCAATCAAGTTCGAAATTCGCAACGAACAGGTCTTTCGAAATTCGCTAAATAAGGCCTCCTTTTTAGATGGCTCGAAAAGCCGACAGTTACGATTTATTAAAAAAAAGATTACTGGGAAAATTTTCACAAGGTTCCAAGTATAGTTTGTAGCTCTTTTGCTCAAGCCTTTTCTGTTAACAGAACATTGTCGGTTGTGGTAGTACACAGGCGGGACCTACATATTTGGACCTTCTACGTTTCCAGTATGCATCGTATGATTGACTAATATAGGAGAGAGTTATTTCTTATAAACGAAATGCGTACAGAAAAGTAGTTCTCATTTTGGCTATTCGAGAATTCGGAAGATTTTCTATTTCTAGATAATTTTCCTTGACCGTTGGTAGTTTCGATAGGTATGCTTACATTAGCATTACTACGCTGTAAAATAGGACGTGTGGCGTAGTGGTTGGAGGTGCCATTGCGATACACACGTGGAATCGATCCGAGCGTCCATGGTCCACCAAGTCTTCCATCCCTCCGGGGTCGGCAAATTGAGACCAGATTTGTCTGAGAGGATAGCAGCACTGGCTCGATACATCGGTAGCCCACCGCGAGTTATTGTAAAGGCCAGATATGCATTCAATCACCTCTATGCGATCTTTAACGAAATCGAATGCATGGCGCATCCCTCAGGGATTGATCAACGCCGAGAACTTCATCCTTTTATCTTTTAACTCTGTAAAATATGATTTTTTAAAATTACGTTTACCTTATTTCGTCCGAAATTCCATCTACTCTTCAGTGAGTAGCACAGCGACGTTCGGATCCATAGCGACATTGCCGACCCGATGTTTCGAGATAATGACCAACTCAGTGCTACTCAGTTTTGATGGAAAACTTGTGGAGAACGCCGCTTCGTTAGGTACGGAGAGCGCTTGCATTCGTAAATAATGGGATTTATGAATTTGGCGATTTCGAAGTTTTCTTTAGAGGAATGTCAAGCTGCATGTATTCTGAGTGATCGACAATGTGGTGCATTAAATTGGATACCAAACAGAAAAGGTTGTATGCTGTTCGGCATCGGATACGATATGAAATCCGTTGTGTTCAGTTCGAATGCACAGTTTTTGATTCATAAATGTGCAGGTAAGTGCTAGGCGCACCGTATTATTAACGGCGTGCAGAAGATACGTATTGATTTCTAATAAGGGCTATAAATAAGCCAGTTGTCGTGCATTTGCACAGAGGAAGTACAGCGTGAGAGTGCGAATTAAATTTTGTGGAAATTGAGGCATACTTGCAGGAGCAGATTGACAAAGAAGTTTAATTCGCTACTCGACCACTCACTCTCAGCAAATGTTCACTGTGTTTAAGCTCCATTGACTTCTATGCCAAACGTTCAGTTTTTGTGAGCGAAATTTGCCGGAAGGATTTTTGTCCACTGACCTTAGACCAACTACCACAAATGAGTCAAAACGGTTGTAAGGATAACCTGACATCGAACACTGCCGAAGAAAGGCTACATAGCTTTTGAGCAAAAAGAAGACGTCGAACATTGGTCGAATAAAGCTTGTTTTATCAGCCGCATATAAGCTCATCGATGAAAGAATACGTGCTGTACTTTTCTCAGCGACTCAAGAACCAGCATGAATAAACTAACGAAATCAACTAATGAGATCAACGATGAATCCGTAAAGAACGCAATGCCTAGTTGCCCTTACTGTGGTTTCGAACTTGTGTTAACATTGGAGGACTTGCCTGCTCTTAATCCGAAATTTCTTCATATCAAAGGACCATAGCAGAAAAATAAGCCGATACTGTGGAGATCCATTTTTAAAAAGAAGCCACCGAACCTAAGTAGGAAAGAGTTCGAGATTTATCCGAAATCTAACCTAAGAGTAAAACAGAGCAAGGAATTGCTGGCATCCTGAATGAATCCGGAAAGCTGACAACTAACTTTAGTGGGGGCGCGGAAAGGCTATTACAAAAATTTTTGAGACACTAGGAAAAGAGTTTTATGGGCCGAAATGCTCGAGTATCGAATTGAAATCGCGTAGTCTTTCCCTTTCATCACCTCTTCCATTCCTTGACTATTGAAGGTGACTTAAATCTCTGCCTCTTGGATAAGTTGCGATCAAGAGGATTGGATGCATAATTAGGAACATAAATTCACTGAAATCCTAATTCATGTTTGTCACTGTGATGCGGAGGTGGACGAATACCTCGATCTCTTCAAGGGCTGTGGGTTCTTCCTTCCTTTGCAGCCGCTATTATGAACATAGTACGTAATGAGTAGAAACGAATGTACTGTGGAACCGACTGCAAAAGCACTGTGGTTGATGGTGAACGACTTTTCTTTAAACACACAAGAGTTTGGAATATTTAAAAAGCACTGGACAAAACAAAGAAAACTTTAACGAGTGTGTAGAAAACAGAAATAAGTGAATCTTTTTAGCTGTTCGACATTTTCGCTTCCCATGTCTTATTCTTTCCTTATTCATGTCTGTTATTCATCTCTCCAACGTATTTTAAATTCCTTCTCGACGGTATCATAGGAGGATCGCACCAATATCAGTGATTTCGTTCAAAGATGAAGCTTAATTTGTCTACAATCCACGCGATTCAGGCCTATACAATTCATTTTTTAACCAGTAATTGAACGGTGTTTCATTTACAGTCGCTGTGGCGATGTGAGGACTCAAAGTCACCGTGTGCCATTGGAAAACTGAAAAAGCCGTGGAAAATTCAGTGGAATCTGCTGCGACTATTCTAAAAAGTCTTATCAAAGACCTGCACGAAATGTGGCTGGCTAGTGAAGGAGGTTTTTCAACCACACAAGGGTCGAATATGTTTCAAAGTGCTGGAATGATAAATAGGAAAGCTGAGAGTATGGGTGGCTTATAGAGAAGCATAGAACTTGCAAATAAAAACTAATAAAAAGCCGAATTATAGAGCTAAAAGTCCGATAAGAAGTATGAGGCCATTTGCTAGATAGGCAAGTGGGCTATGACCTGCATGTGACTCGTCGCATGAACAGAGTTAGAATTAGCGGTCATTTCTTCTTCTTCCTGAAAATTTATGTCACTCCATAATTCGGTGGGAAATATGCTAAGACTTGAGATCCAATCAGGTGAAAGAATTTTACTGTGAAGTTGTAAACATTTCCATATGATATGACGTGATATTATAAATGGTGTGGTACGATAATGGTACAATTCTATTCCTCCCTTGATAAAACTAGTGATATAAAAAAATGCTTCCTTGATAGGATAGAAATTTTAAGACCAATTGAAAAAAATGGCTCTTGTTTGTAAAACATTCCAGTTTAGATGTTTTTTTTCTGGATTTTCATTCTTCTCTATTTAAGGACGTAAGGAGCCCTTCAAGGTTCAGCAGAAGGGAGATTACTACGACGAACGTTACGAATCTTCATAACTAAGTCGTATTTGTTCGCGTAGAAAGGCTTTACTCTTTTCATAGAAAGTGAACTTATGGCTTCATAAATATTACTCCTGTGCAAATGTGTTACTAAAAAATCAAAAGCAAAATATCTCACTTACCGTTAGATGTGGAAAGGACCACTGAATCGTGGGAAAGTAAAAATAGAGCAGCCAGTGTTAAACTCATTTCAAAAAGCTTGGCAACTGGATTGATTCCATTACAATTTCTGCAAATTGTTTATCTGTAAGTGAAAGGAAAACGGACAGTGGAAAATGAGAAAATAAGAATGTTTTTCGTGAAGAAAAAATGAAGAAGCAAAAATGAGCTTTGAGATTAAAGAAAAGGCGTAAAGAAATTGCTTGAGTTCCACTTCGAAGCTGCTATATAAAACTTATTTTTTTTCGAAAGTTTGATGCTGTAAAATCGGTTGGCAAACGAGGAAAAATCGGTATTGAGTACAAAATATAGGCATCGATCCTCTCTCGAAGCTAGTTTGCTAAACTTCAAACGCTAGGAACTCAAATATATGTCTCTATGTCTCAAATATATGAGCGCTTAATTTCATTTCGGACTTTTACGGACTTGCTGGTTTCTAGTGAAATAGACGACAATTTTTGGGTAACTATAGAACATGAAGAGTTAAGAGCAGCATTCGACTATGAAAGGCATTTTGCTCTAACGTTCCAGGGGGACATGTGTGCATCTGTTTACTACATGTTAGTATGGTTCGCCACACAATCATTTTGCTTCCGGTGTCTGGAAGCGTTTTTTCGTTTTTTGTATCCGTTTCAGTAATCATTGTACTTATTTATAAAGGTAGTTCACTATTAAAGTGAAAAACAGCCAATTTTAAGTCGAACTATCGATCGATGAACTCACACGAAAATGTATTTTTTAAATCACTAAGTGTAGAGATTTGCTTTTCACTTGTTACTTTTAACATAACATCCGCCTGTCTATATGATGCACAAAAGTACGGTAGAATGTTCTTTGCAGCAAAATAAACCATTGAAAGCAAGATGTGTTGAGGGCAATGCGCACCGTCCCTTTTCGCTCCTTGTCAAGTATGCGTAGCCTATAATGATCTCGCGCGTTAGCTCTTAAACAGTAGCCAATTTTCGTATGAATGTTAAAGCTTATTATCTCCGACATCAGTCTACTCGTCAACTAAGGCAATCAGCCTATATTCTATTCGAAGTCTTCATCAATGTGGACATATAGAAAATACGTAAAATATTAGGAAAGATTTGTCAAATTGTGTGGACCATCATATATATGGTCTCAATCCTTAAAAAAAGGAAAGAACAATTGCAAGACGGATTGTGTGATCAGATTTTCGTACTTTTTGAACAGCTGTTCCTAAAACTCCTTGATTTTTGAGTGCAAGCAAATTCAGCAGAATATCTTTCCACTGCTGCAGTGTCCAAACAGTCAAGGTTGCATCAATTAAATAATAAACACCTCTGAATAATTAAATAAAGGCGTATATAGATAAATAAATAACATTTACTTAATAAGTTAATAAACATAAATATATAGAGGTTCTATTACTTAGGTGCAGTTCTTCCTTCATCAGTAGAACCACTTGCCCAAAAGTTTGAAAACTGTAAAAGGTAAAAAAGGCAAATTCGTAACTAGCAGGCAATAAATATCTTGTTATGATCTTGCTAACTCTTGGTTTAGTAGAAAACAGAAATTTCTAGCAAAAATCAATCAAAGACGAATAAAATGAGGCGATCAGTAATCATTTTCCTTGATAGCATTTTGTAACAGACCAGTGTTATTTGTTAAAGCTTCCAACGATGAGCTACAAAGGCACCTCATCCTCACATTATGCAGGAAGTCGAACAGAATACTTTCCTGTAATTCATTCGGAATCATGAAAGGCAGGATGAGAGAGGCGGTGTAAGAGAAATGAAGGGGAGTAGGTACCGCCTGTGAATAGACTACGTCACAGGGCACAGGATGACGGAATGCCGACGTCCTTGTCTCCTATGTGAAGATATAATAATAACTTGACCTCGAACAATTATCCAGTGTATTCAATACTTCAATGTGATCGCCGTCCATCTCATCAGCGACGTCTTCTGCAAGAAAGTCCTATAAACCTAGATTCACTAGAAATGCGATTTTCTTTCTTTGTTCTGGTATTGACAAAGCTGGACTGACGAAATGCTATTCATCTTCTAACCACTAGACCAGTGACCATGGCTGCAATGAACTTAGGTTGTACTTTTCAGACGTATCTGCGCAGTTGAGTAACCGTCGAAATCCGAAAGAATTATTAATAGTGCTTCTCTTCTAGGAAAAGAAATCCTACAACTTTATTTTTTGTGATTATTCGCCCCGTTCCTTTGTTCAGCAATCTTGAGCAATAACCATCCTCCTTTAAAAGAACACCTAGATGGCAAACGAAAACTAAGACGAAGCACCCCACTAGGCACGCATAGGATACAAAAGCATAGCGGAGACGATTTTAGAGTAAAAGTCAATATCCTTGCACAGGAGTCCAAAACACCAGCGCTAAAACTTCTTGAGGCTTTTTGGATGAATGCCAAAAACCCTACAATGAATAGCAGGGACGAATGCCCAGAGGTCATGCGCGACCAGAGCCCGTATGTGCACATCAATTTCTGATGTGGCAGGGTGCAGTCATAAACCATATGCGACTATAATCAGCTGTTTTTTGAGAAGCTTTTGATCATGTAATTACAATAGTTTTTCGTCTTTCTCTAAGTGTTATTGAGGCGTTTGGCCTAGTAGATTTTGTAACAGTATGCCCTCCGAGGCTCTGAAGAAGGCGATACCTCCGAAACGTCAGCTACTGCTGTATTGTATTGTGTTTCTCTATGGAAGTAAATGTATGGTGCTTAACAACCTCGCGATTACTGAACAAGAAAACGACGCATCCTCCTTTATTTCATATGAGAGAAGGTGGACGTGGCTATCGAAGAGATCTATGTAGTAATCGTGAATGATTTTTGCCATTGCCTTTCTGGAGGCTGAAACTGTTTCGGCTGGACGTCAGAGTGAAATCATTCTAGCAATGTAGTTGGCCAAGCATTGATGGGCTTTGCGAACGCTTTTTCCAGCTTCTGCAGCTTCGACCATTACTAGTGCTCTTCTCTCCTTAAGATCTTCTTTTATCGTCCGTCTGCATTGTTTTGGAAGTTCGAACGTTAGTTCGCAGTTGCCTGCAGCTGGTGTAGATCTACACTGGCTTATAGGCTCTAGAGCTTCTGGAGACAGACGTCTCTTGGTGAGTTTCGAACTCTCCGCTTTCATGGCGCTATTGTGAAGAAGTCAAATGAGCCGTTCGTATTTTTCGTCGGTATTATCGAAAACGGCATCTTCCCAACAGCCGACTAGTGAGTTCAATGAGTTCCAATTTATAGTGGTTTTCAAACTTCGTTTTTTAAATTTAGCGACCTTTTCTCCCTTCTGCGAGAAATGGAATCTTGCACGGATGCGGTGGTCTGATCTCGCATAGAATTATGGGGCAGCATCGACACCGGTAGACAAAGCCTTCGGTTTACTGTGATGTGATCTGATTCAATATGATATGTAGCCCTCTTTGGGAGACTCCGACGTCCAACGTTGAGGGTGAATCTTCTGGAATTGCGAGTTACCATAGATGGTATTGGTGGTGATGACAAACTCAGAAATCCGCTCACGCTGTTCGTTCCATTTTAATCCGTGGGTTCCAATGTGACGTTCTTCAGGCGTTATTCTTGATCCAGTCTTGTTTTTAAAATTTCCAATGATAACCTTGAAGCATGTATGGTTTTCTCTGTAGAACTTATCTAAGTCCATATAGAACGCTTTGACTCCTTATTCGTCATAGTTTGATGTTGGCGCGTAAAGGACGAAGGTTGTCAAAGCCGGAATTGGTTTACATCTTTTTAGTCGTAAGAGGGTTCCCATTCGGGTTAAAAGTTGTTTAGATGGATCGATGTTCATGAACAAATTTGTGTTGATGAGCAACAGTTCTTTTCCGGTATCATAGACGGCATTGAATGGGTGACGTCGCCTCGTCTCGGCCAGGCAGATAGCATTGTACCTTCTCTGTGGTAATTGCATGATAAACAGCTTTTCGAAAAACACCGCATTTTACGTGACTTCCAATGAGGAAGACTAGAACAGCTGATTACAGTCGCTTATGGTTGATGACTATACCATCCCACATCAGAAATTGATGCGGAGATACGGGGTTAGGTCATGTGTAACCACATGGCATTCCTCCCTGATATTCATTCTAGGGTTCCTTGTATTTATCCAAAAAGCCTCAAGAAGTTTGCGCATTGGTGTTTTAGTCCCCTGTACAACAGAGAATGTGCACTTTCAATAGCGATTTTCATCTTTCTGTGCGCGTTATTGAAGCGTTTGGCGTACTAAATTGCATATCAAGACACCCTTCCGGGCTCTGCAGAAAGCGATGCTGCCGAAACGTCAACTACTGTTGTATTGCGTGTTTTTGTATAGAAGCAAATGTGTGTCGTATAACCACCTCGCGATTGCTGAAAAAGAAAACAACGCATTTATAATCCAGTGCCGAGGTTAATAGAAAGTCGATCCTGGAAACTATTCGCTTTCTTACAGTTTTTATTTTACTTACGAAATATAATGACCACTGAACTTTAACTACGTGAGAATTTTACACTTTTCGGAAAAGTACATTTACTCCAAGAAATCACAGAACTTCTGAGGTTGAAAGCTAGCTCTATTACTATTCCACAGAAATGTGGCACCGGCAGGGAGCATGGTGATAGTGATGTCTGCCATCGCGAGCAGAGCTCGAGTTCGATTCCACTCCAAGCCAACTGAGCCTGTCATCGCTCGGGGGTCGAAAAATTCGTACCGGACTTATCTGAAAAAAAATCACCTTTTGTAATCCAATTTGAAACGCTATAGCTTGGCTATCTCACGACTCCAGCGAGATTCGACAGTATCAGCATTTAACGACGTTCATAATGAAAGGAAATATCCTCAAACAG